GGCTACTCTGTGGCGCTTACTGACACTACCACGTATAATTAAAAATATATACTCCATAAAGTGGTTAAAGGGATGACCGCAGTGGTAGCTCAGTTGGTAGAGCATCAAACGCGTTATTCGAAGGTCGCAGGTTCCATTCCTGCCCACGGCAAGTTATCCCTTCACCAATTTTTTCTTTCTTGACATTTACATTACAATTTGCTCTAATAACTTTTCCTATACATTCCTTGGCATTCTTGTCTGTTAGATCTCAATAATATCGTGTAAAAACGCGGAAAAACGAGTCCTTAAGTATACACTTCTTTCCCTTATTCATTACGAGGGTCTCGTACTGGCAGCCTTAGTGCCTTTAGGTTGTATACGAGCGACTATTGGTCAGCTGCCTACTGGTAATAAGTTCACGTGCTACGTGACGCCACATATGCTCATTAAAAATATATACTCCATAAAGTGGTTAAGGGATGACCGCAGTGGTAGCTCAGTTGGTAGAGCATTCAAACGCGTTATTCGAAGGTCGCAGGTTCCATTCCTGCCCACGGCAAGTTATCCCTTCACCAATTTTTTCTTTCTGACCTTTACATTACAATTCGGTCAAATAACTTCCGCTAGACTCTCCTTGGCATTATTGTCTGTTAGATCTCATTCATATGTGTCAAAACATGGAAAAACGAGCCCCTAAATATACTTTTTTTCCTATGTATATATATATATATATATATATTAGGGAGACAAATGTATAATTGAGGGCTCGTTTTTCGTGTTTACACAATATAATGAGATTTAACAGAAAATAATGCCAAGGAAGGTATAGGGGAAGTTATTAGGCCAATTGTAATGTAAATGAGAAGAAAGAAAAGTGGGTGAACTTGAAGATAATTTGCCGTGGGCAGAATCTAAACCTGCGACCTTCGAATAACGCGTTCGATGCTCCACCACTGAGCTACCACGACAGCTATCCCCCCAGCCACTTTATTGGGTATCTATGTCAATTTAAACGTGGGAGTGTCAGTCAGCGCCGTTTGTAGCCATGGCGGCGAGTGTGGCACACTCTTTATGAGCCTGTTTGGTGTCGCGTAGCACGTGAACTTATTACTATCTGGCAGCTGATAAAGAGTGTGCCACACTCATTAAATCTCATTATATATATATATATATATATATATATATATATATATATATATATATATATATATATATATATATATATATATATATATATATATATATATATATATCATACTCTTTATTGTTCAACTTGCCTTGCCGATGCAATAAAATTAAATGAAATGGCTGATTCCTGTATATACGTGACAAACAAAAAACTCTGATAAAATGCTGTAAGTCAGCTGTGTCGTGGATTCTCTTTCTGTTTCCGGGTCGTTGGAGGTGGCAGAAGCACAGAGGACCTCGCGCCTCAAAAACTCATTACCACTAGCACTGGAAGGTACATTTCTCAAAAGCCGAACATCTTGTCAGCTACCAACTGATACTTATCCAAACCCGCAGCCGTATCACAGATTCCACCCGGAGATCTATCAGGACCTCGATTGCACGGTCTTCGGTACAGAAACAACTACATCCGGACACATGCTCTAGAAAGTTTATGCTAATACTGGAGGTATTGTTCCTGAAGTTTTCTCGGTGAATCGGGCCGTTGCGACGCACAGATCAGAGCTCGCTGACCGAATACGGGCCGTCACGCAAACCCGCGAAGCAACGACAAAGCAAGGCCTAAACCTTATGAGGCCGCATAAATGGAAAGGCTGGGCAATTAATCTATGTGTCAGCAGGCCATCGATAGCTCTATCACAACAAGAAATGGATATTCTTCAGAATGTTGGCACACGCGATATTCATGCCGCGTTATCACGATGATTACTCGGTTATTTAGGTGAATTCTGTTTTCCTTGGCTTGCCATTCCACTTATTTGATTGATTGATATGTGGGGTTTAACGTCCCAAAACCACTATATGATCATGAGAGACGCCGTAGTGGAGGGCCCCGGAAATTTAGACCACCTGGGGTTCTTTAACGTGCACCCGAATCTGAGCACACGGGCCTACAACATTTCCGCCCCCATCGGAAATGCAGCCGCCGCAGCCGGGATTCAAACCCGCGACCTGCGGGTCAGCAGCCGAGTACCTTAGCCACTAGACCACCGCGGCGGGGCATTCCACTTATTTGTCAGATACTGCTCAAGTATATATTGCGCGGTTTCAGCAAATGAATCTCGTTGTAAGTCAGTGCCGCAGTCTGTCTCCTTGTTTTCTTGTTTCTTGTTATTGGCGCTGTTTTTACGTGACTAAACGTCCCGACGTGACAGGCTTGAGTCCGAGTCATCAAACTGCGAGACCTTCGATAAGACTTCAGCAACCAGCGAAGGCGAACATTCTGGCTGAGACTACAGAGCGCGTACTAACGTCAAGAAGACTGCGTTTCACTGTTAACTTACCGTTGTCCAGGCTCTTAAACTACGAGACACGATATCGGTATGGAACTCCTATGATCCGCAGATGGTTCTTGCGATGTAAATTTTACCGATCAGGACGAGCGGAAGCGGTCTGCAGCACGAAATAGAAACGGCGCGCCAGTATACACGAAAGCGCCAGATTTCGCAACTCACGTGCACAAAAAAATGCGTCGCTTTCATTCGATAGAGGCAAGACAGTCCACGAATTCGATGAACTGCGAACACTAGAGTGTTATACCCGTGCCACGCGGGCAGAGAAAATGGCATTTACCCCCGAATGCCTTCAGATTTATTGCCATTCACGCGGTGCCACACAACGAACGAAATGGCATTCGTCCGAATGCCATTCGCCACCAAATGCCTTCGCGAGAACTCAGTTGACTGAGAAATGCCTAGTCTCGACGACACAGCTCGCGAAGTGCGATTTACCTTAAAGTAAATAAAACAAATCATATTCAGCTAAAAATAAAACTCCCCGCCTTCTATTTGCACTAAACTTTTAAAAAAGTGCTTTGACCGTTATACGAAGATCAGGTTGAAATGGTTTCAAATTGATTCAAGTTCAATGTACTGAAGCTGACGCATGCTAACTCGTCTTTGCTCCAGAATTATTCGCTCTTGAGCGCGATGCTTTGCACGGAAACACACAAGTGCTGCCGTGAAAAAAATGAACTCTGCGAACATCTTCTGAGAGATGCGACAGGTGCGATGCGACAGGCGCCATTTTCTAATTACGCTGTGGATCTGACTAGTGTTGGCTTAGGTTGCTACGGTCGGCTGCAATGTCGTAAAACAAAGCAAGAAAGTACAACTTAGGGCAGCGTAATATGCTTATTTCTATTTTTAATGATTATATGATGTGTATGAAGCTTGTAAACGCTTGTTCATTTTTCTATTGCTATTCACCCAATGCTCACTTGGAAGGTGCTGCGATCGACATCATCAAGTCAAGTGTCATTCGCTTTGGACTTGTAGCAGCGCCGGCGAAACAAATGTCATTCGGGAACTGAAGGCCTTCGCCACCAAATGTCATTTTTTATGCCCGTGTGGCACGGGTATTAGTCTATAGTGCACGTGGAACAGAAGGATCACGGAACAAAAGGAGGATGCGTTAAATGTCCGGCTGCTAACTTCGTCGCTCGCGAGAGCGTTTCGCCCGTACCGTGTAGCGATGCGGTACGACGTCCGCGCGACAGATAGTGCGGAGAACTTCGTCCGGCGTTCGGGACACAAGATCGTGTCTTTCGCCGGGAACCCCTACGGCGCCAGAAGTCTCGGTCGGGGTCTATCGCCCACACCAGCTGACGGCGACCTCGCTCTTGTTTGTAAAGCGAATTCCCTTCGCGAAAGAAGCTAGCTCTTCGCGGCGCATCGCGAAAGGCGGGAATTCTAAAAGGCGACGACCGCGCGAAGCGATAACAAGAATTAAGCGGGGCGGGCGGGAGGAGGTGGCGATATGTTTGTAGGATAAGTGAGCAGTTTTTTGAGCGAAATTCTTTTTCGAATGCCAACCGAATGCCAGCGAGATTAAGAACAAAAAAGGGGAAGAATGAAGAAAAAAACACGAGGACAGTGAGAAAGAAGTGAGGGACTTCTAGAAGGTGGAATATACCACGTCAAAACCTTGCTTGAGAAGTGAAAAGAAAACATAAAAACGAGTGCCATTTGGCCCGTTATTAAAACGTAATCGTCGCGTTTTCTGTTAAAAAACGGTGCCCGCGCACGCAGACGTGTTTGTGTTTCACTGTGGTACCATATTGTCACGCGCTCATATCATATTCACTGGTGGTGCCGCACACATGCGATGAATGCCAGAAAAAAAGAAGCGTACGCCTCCTCTCCCTTCAAACACTGAAAAGCGACCCATAGTGTGATCTTCGACTAGTATCTATAACCCTCCCCCCCCCCCCCCCCCCCGTTTGGAAAGTGCTTGTAAACAAAGGCTGGCCCCTTCGGCTGCTTCTCCCTCCCGACTCCCTCCTCTTTGTAACACTGAGCAAGAAGCGTTCTGAAAGATATTAGTGCTTTCCGCGAAAGGAGCAATTGAGAGGGGGGGGTGTAGCATTTATTCGATCGTTTGGCGAAGTAATTGGTATCCCTCTTTCCCGCAGCTTTACACCAATTTCTCGCCTCTCTCATTTGAGCACACGTCACCTGAGTGTAAGACATCCTCAGTACTGGAGCGACACACGAGTGGCCGGGAGGCGATGGGGAGGCGGGTGCAGAAAGAAGGCGGGGGAGGCCCATGTTTTCGCCAAGACGACTTCACGACCGGCGTGAGCGTATGGTGCCATCTCCGGGCAAATTGGTGTCGTTGGTGGTGTCATCGGTGTTCACTCGCTCGAAGGTTCTTCCTCCCTTATCGTGCCCATCCATCGCCCTTCGAAGATGGAGACAATGAACGCTTCATGGGGGCGCTTCGAGCGCGACACCTGGCTTCCTTCCCCCCTTTGCGGGCCACATCCTCAGGAGCAGCCAACTGAACGTCGCGGGTAGGCGGTATATAAAGAGCAACGCGGCGACCCAAAGACACGGCTATTGCTCTCTTGGCATCTAGTCGGAAGAGAGAACCAGCATGAACGCTCTGGTAAGTTTGTTGTGCGTCCACCCAAGCGCTCCGAGGAGTCGGCTAGCCCGACGACAACGAAGAGCCCTACGGATACCACCATCTTCGTCGACTTCGTCGTGCTGAGCCCGAGACGTCTTTTACCGGTTATGTGAGCTAGAAGGAGAGACTTATCGAACTGCCGGGTCGGCGAGGACCATGATGCTTAGCAACTCGCTGAAGTCGGATGGAATGATGGCTTCGAGGCGCGAGACAATTGAACATAACTTCCGAATCTCTCAGCTTCTTTCTCGAATAGTGCGCGTTGAGAGGGCTTCTCACATCAAGAGCGAAATGTACAAAATTGCCACAGCCAACTATAAAAATGGGGCATTCTACTAGCTCAGGAAGCTTGTACAAATTCACTCTCGCTATGGCGAGGTGGCGCAGCTGTCAGGCAGGATTACTGGTGCCATAGCATAAGAAAACCATGAATCGCTGAGCCGAAATTCAGAACACCATTTCCACCTCATCATCTCAATAATAAGCTCCGAAGTAAGAGTACATAAGAAGTTGACAACTAGACGTCCACTTAATCAATGTTTTGAAGTGGTGCTTCCCACAGTGCGGTTCTTAGAGGGCCCGTCACTTAATGCTTCATTTTTACGAAAACCGCTTTTTCGGTGTACATAATTGCGCCACGTTACTCTATATACCGTGACATACATAAAACTGATAACTGAAGCATGCGCTACCGCTGTCTTTTGCAGAAGGCTGTCGTGTTCCTCGGCCTATTGGCCACCTCCTTCGCTGGCCAGGTCGGCTATGGATATGGAGGTGTCGGATATGGAGGTCTCGGATATGGTCTCTCTTACGGCACTGGCGTCGGCCACCTGCTCGGTGGAGGTCTCGCCCTCGGCCAAGCCGTCGCCGCACCCGCCGCTGTGACCACCGCGGTCCACCACGCCCCAGCTGTCTCCTACGCAGCTGCCCCAGCCGTGGCCACCACCGTGCACCACGCTGCTCCAGCCGTGTCGTACGCCGCCGCTCCAGCTGTGTCTTACGCTGCTGCTCCAGCCGTGTCTTACGCCGCTGCTCCCGCCGTCGCCGTTGCCCGCCCAGCGGTCACCGTCGCCCGCCAGGCCTACACCGTTGCCGCTGCACCCGCTGTGAGCTACGCCCAGTATTCCGCTCCCGCCGTAGCCACCACCGTGCACCACGCTGCTCCAGCCGTCACCTATGCCGCCGCTCCGGCCGTCTCCTACGCCACTGTTGCCCGCCCAGCGGTCACCGTCGCCCGTCAGGCGTACACCGTTGCCGCCGCTCCGGCTGTGAGCTACGCTCAGTACGCCGCTCCCGCCGTGGCCACCACTGTGCACCACGCCGCCCCAGCCGTCACCTACGCTGCCGCTCCGGCCGTCGCCGTTGCCCGCCCAGCGGTCACCGTCGCCCGCCAGGCCTACACCGTTGCCGCTGCCCCAGCTGTGAGCTACGCCCAGTACTCCGCTCCCGCCGTGTCCACCACCGTACACCATGCCGCCCCGGCCGTCTCCTACGCAGCCGCTCCTGCCGTCTCCTACGCCGCCGCTCCCGCCGTTTCGTACACTGCCGTCGCCCGCCCGACCGTTGCCGTCGCTCGCCCAGCCGTCAGCTACGCTTCCTACGCCGCTCCCGCCGTCACCTACGCCCGTCCCGCTGTGGCCGCCGTCCAAGCTGCCCCCGCTGTGACCACAGTCCACGCTGCCCCAGCTGTCACCGCCGTCCATGCTGCTCCAGCCGTCGCCACCGTCCATGCTGCTCCAGCCGTCGCCACCGTCCAAGCTGCTCCAGCTGTCAGCTATGGCAGCACCTTTGGCCACGTTCTCGGAGGTGGTCTCGCTCTTGGACACGCTGTCGCTGCCCCGGCGGCCGTCTCCACCACCGTCCACCACTCCACCCCTGCTTTCGCTACAGCTCCAGTTGCCACCTACGGCGTTGGCTACGGTCATGGTCTCGGCTACGGCCTCGGATACCATGGTCTCGGCTACGGTCTGAGCAGCGGCTATGCCCTTGGCGGCTACAACTATGGCCTCGGCGGCTACACCTACGCCCTCAACAAGAAGAAGTAAATGATGAGAGAGAGGAGTTAGACGTAAGTAGACGCCTACTGAGTCACTTCACTTTAGATAATCGTCCAGTCATGCCATTTATTTTGTGCTAAAGTCATTCCTGTCTTGTGCTTTCAGGACACCGCTAGGAAGGATCACGTCAGGACCTGCTGGCAAGACCTGCACTTCAGAATATTTATGTTGGTTCTCCGTGTTCCGATAATAAAATCTTGTCAGAGTGAAAACAATGCTTACTGTTTCCTGCGTATTTCTGTCGACATGGATTGCTTTCAGGACATAACCATGCAGGTTTTGATATATCTCCGGTACTCTGTCCTACTCGCGCTACGCTACGTGGCGCTACGGCTAAAGACTATAAAACTAACTATACACCGAACCACCATGCGCCGGATAAGTTGCATCTCTCCGAATATGTCTCACGTTTTCAAGCATGCCCGCTTTGCAAAAGGGCTTGCGAGTCGGCCGTTCTTGCCAGTTCAACCATCTACACCTCCATACCTCAGATCAAACGGGAAGAGGTATCTTTTATATCTTTTGCACGATCATCACCACAGATGGTCGCAGACTTATAGCCATAAAACGCCTTTCTTCTCCTCCTTCTCATCATCATCCTGGCTATGCCTATTGCACGGTAAAGGTCTCTATCATGTTCCACAAATTAACGCGGTCCTGTCTTGCCGCGGCCCCATTGTCCCTGCAAGCTTCGCAATCTCATCGGCCATTCTAACCTTCTGCCTGCCCTCCATGCGCTTTCGTTTTCTCGGAATCCACTCTGTTTTTCTCGCGCTACACACCCACGCCACCTGCTCTCACACGGACTGCATACGGAGAGAACCACATCTTACACGATACCAAGTCATCCATTCAACGAGGAACGCCACTCTGAAAGAAATGATCAATTAAGAGTCCAACTTAAGCCTATAGGCCGTGCTGGATGCATGAATGTTCGCTCGCCAGCCTATAACACAAGCTGCTCGTTGTGGCTGTGATGCTGCCGAAGTTATTAGGTGTCACTGGTCTTGATGACAGGGAAACCAACAAGTCAACAAGGGGTTCTGGCAGGGCGATCTTTCCGAATGCTTTGATCACTACAGCACGAGGTCATCGAACTGCGGCGGACCTTACACACTGACACCACTTTGACTAGCCATGCAAAACATCCATCCACTTTTGGGAATGTTGTGTAAGAAAACACTGTGGACCATGGAGGGATGTTCGAAATGTTCCACACTGGACACGTACCGAGACAAAGATTATACTTGAAAATGCGTGTCAGCTAGAGCTGAAGCGATGAACAAATTGAGTGGTTTTGCTTGACGACATAGCAATTTTCAATGTTAACTCTGCCGGAATCTGCGTGGAAACAGGCCTCTGTGGTATTATAAGCCGGTAAACCACTTATAATTAAATCAGCTAGCCAATGAAGCAATCAGACTACCAACTATTGGATCAAATTATTCCATCACGCAGTGAGGACACTGTAGCATTTTGTAAAGATAAAAACAGGGCTAGGATGTTTACAGTTGTCTGCGGCCTCGAATACGGTTAAATAGGGCCAAATAAGATACAACACCAGCTCGCAATAAACTAAAGAGCTTCCATCATTCCTCTGGTCGAATCAGATAACCCGACGACAATCGGAGCTCAGGTGGTGAACTGATTACACTTGTTACGAGCAATGCCAAGCGCTATCCACCATAAGGAGTTTTATAAATATACACTAGAGGAAACTCTGGCGCTAGTGTCTACGAGAGCTTGCAGCGAATAGCGCTCCAGCGAGCATGGCAATTACGGGTATGGCATGAATTTGTCTAGCCTTCGTACTTTACGTTCCCTCTGGCTTCGCGTTTCTTGAAGCTGCTTTGTCACGAAAGAACAACCAGCAAACGTTGGGCAGTTATGCTACACCACCTTTACCTTTTAGGATCACCATTTCAAATCGGTTCACGAAATAATAGAAAAAACAATTCGTTCTTTCTTTCGAAACACAAACCAAGACACAGCAATAAACGAAGCCACATGTGCGTTCGCCACCCGCAAGAACGAATTCTAGACAAGTCCATGACCATGTCATACCCCTCATCCCCAAAGTCGCTGAACGATTTCAGCGCCACTCTACCCTCTGATTAATTTTAGGAAACTCTATGTTATCGACGGCTTTTATTACATCCTGTTTTCGCAAGCCCAGGGATAATAAGTGAGCGAGCAGCGGGGGTGAAAGAAGCGCCGGATATAAATATACAGAGGCCCATATAATAACAAACCAGCAACGGGGAGGATTTGGTAAGCTGATGAAGTTTGCCATTAGAGAAACAGCGATTGATAATTAGGCCCACCACAGGAGAGCTGTGTCGGTGTCGTAGGAAAGGGAGTCGCACCATCTTCATCTTAAATCTACGTTGTACTGGGACAAGGCCGCGAGAATGAATCGAAAGACCATTTGAAAGGAGCGCTGTACATTTACGTTCGCTACACATGATCGAAAACGACCGATAAGGGATTGCGGCCGACGCCGACGGAATCGGAGGCGACTCGAGGGTTGTTGCAGTCAAAAGTTATGCCTATAGGCGCAGCGGGAGGTTCCCTGCCATATAACATCCGTGATGACTTCTTGACGCTTTTTTGAACTAGCTTTAGGTTTTGAAAAGCTCTGGTTTTCGGAAACTGAGCTTACCTAACTTATAATTAACCGTACGTGGGACCCAAATTATTTAGCCCCTCCTATGATGCCACCTATTCAAATGTTACACGCCAAACGCAGAGATTGACTTTATGGACTATTCATTGGTGGTTTGAATAATCTTCCAAGGCTTAGAGATAACCATGAATAACGCTTTGAGAGTCAGCTGGGCACATGCGGCTCCATTTTCATCCTGCTTAAAATTACTTCCCCACCTATTTCGTCGAAATTAACTCAACACGAAGCTGTTGCTACCTTACCTATAATTATACGTAAGGTGCGAGGATAATTCTTTTATGTGCACTGTCGAAAGGTGGCGGCAGCACTGTAATGACGTAAAATGTGGCCACTTTTTTTTTTTCGGGAAAGTCTCCGGATTTTCTTCTGCCTCAGAAAGAAAAAAGACGAAAAAAAGTCACGTAGGGCTTTGTGATTTTGCCTAGCACGACTCGAATATAAAGAGTTTTCTATCGGTACACTAGAGGAAACTCTGGCGCTAGTGTCTATAAGAGCTGCAACGCATGGTGCTTCAGTCCGCATGGGAATCATGGGCGACACACGGATTTGTCCGAACTCCGTTCTTTCTGCCCCGTCTAGCTATACGCGTGGTCTGGCGCCGTTTTGGCGCAAGACGAAAATGAGCAGACGCTCAGCAACATTTGGGCACACCGATTCCAATCGCTTGGTCCACTGCGATTCAATCTTTCATTCAAAACGGACACGAAAACACGACAATAAACGAAGCCACAAGTGTGTCCGCAAACGTAAGCACGAAGACTATAGGCAAGTCCGTGTACTGCCCATCATTCTCGAGATGGCTCAACGATCGCAGCGCCAGAGTTTCCTCTAATTTTGGGACACGAAAAGGACTCGAAAGTGAGTGCCGTATTCGTTTCCTTCTCAGTCGAAATATTCATTATTCCCTGCACCCCTCCGAAAACACTCTGCACAATATCACCTGAGTCTCCAGTGAGCCTTCAGAAGACCCGAGGAACTGCCATTCCTTCATGAATAGATCGCAGGAGCGTGGTCTCCAAGAGCATCAGCGCTGAAAGTCAAGCGAGCCATCCAGCTGTTCTTGAAGGCGACATCACAGAGCGACCGCCTGGGAAATCCTGCACTGTGTGTGTGTGTGTACAATGCGCTTCTCTTTCCCTCTCTCATACTCCCTCATTACCCTTTCCCCACGCGTAAGGTAGCAAACTGGAAGTATTCTGGTCAACCCATCTGCCTTTCCTATATTCTTTCTCTCTCTCTTCTGCATCTCACCCGGTTTCGCACTGCTTTCGCGATAAGCCCGCCTTTCGCCAAGCCACGACGTCCACCACGTGACGGTTTGATAGCGTCACAGCATGATTGTGACGTCACAACGCCACAAATCTTGGCCATATGACACATGATGGCATCAAAAGATCGATTACGTCTTCCCGTGATGATATTTTTCGTCTCTCGTGTGCACGCCGACGCCATGAGATACCGGAAGTCAATTTCGTGTTCGATGGCGCATATAAAATATAGATAGACATAGATGTACTTCATTTAAACATAACACATATATAAGCTATCAGGCTTGCGTTAAAAAAAATCTTGAGATTCAAAATGGTGCATAAGTTGTTTTTTTTCTCTTTCCAGTAGACAAAAAGCACACCTCTCAATAATTTTTGATTTTTTGTAATCCCCGCTAGAATCCACGTGGCGAAGGCTATCTTGGCAGTCCCAAAACTTGGCTTTTTGCATGCTTTCACCTCTGAACAGGAAACGATGCGATGGCCACGCATGAAATATGGCACACTTGGTCATTTGTGTCACACTGCAAGAACCAAATAACGTACAAGAATCACTTATCATGTGCCCTACGATCGAGTCGACCAACGCTCGTAGGCGAATGCAGGAGCCAAGATATAGAGATGCAAAGGCCAGGCAAGTGGTGCATCAACGACCGAAAGGCTAGCGGCGACAGCCCGAGAAAACACTGAAATTCACTAGATTATGCATCGTGTTAAGTGTCACATCTATCAGTATTTCATTCACACAAAATTTGAGTTTTTATATATATTTTATTTGTATACTAATGTAGCCCACATAAACCAACTGGGCATTATTGTTTGTGGGGGGGGGGGGGTCAAAAGAAGAAAAAAAAAACGACAGTCGTACAGTCAAAATAATGAAGCATGTTCGCGCAGCTGTGTCTGCGCATTCACGGAAAGCACACATCTAGTATGAAGAATCAAGTCCTTGTGCGGCAACGTCGAAAACACAAGCACTCAACTTATTTCATTGATTTGATATGTGGGGTTTAACGTCCCAAAACCACCATATGATTATGAGAGACGCCGTAGTGGAGGGCTCCGAAAATTTCGACCACCTGGGGTTCTTTCACGTGCACCAAAATCTCATCTTAATCCATTCATTAAGAGTAGGAGGAGAAAAAAAAAATCACAGCCTATTCACGGAGTGAATGATGATTGGTGGGACGAAGCGCTCGTCAGTGCGTCCGTCTGTCCATTAGTTCTTGCTGGGATTCAGCAAAAAAACACCAGTGCGCCAGC